GGCCTGTTGATTCTTTTTGGCCGACTGTTTTTTCGAGGAAGTGCTCCCCTTTGATTTCTTGACAAAAGAGTCAAGATCACCTTGCTCAGCCAGGCGGTCTAGATACCGCATGAGACTGATGCATTCGTTGGTGCGATGACCAAAATCTTCATGATAATCACAGAATTTATCTTGGTTCCGGTTGCTTGCAGAACCCTTCATGGGGACCGGCTTCTCAATAGAGATCCGTCCCTTGATTTCTTTTAGGATAGTTTGGCTATCCTTGCTAAACGCATACTTTGGGGAGTATGGTTTGAATTCTTTTTTCTTCTTCTGGGCCGGCTGTTTAGAGGAATCAGCCGCCCAGACCTCTTTTCTCTTCTTTTCCTTGTTTGACGACTGTATCTGTCGTCCTTCTTTTTTGTCGAACTTTTTTCCGTCCGAGTGTTTCACTGTACTACAAAGATCAGTTGCCTGTATATAGGCTTCTGCTTCAATCAAGGCCTCCTGAAGAGTCGCCACCCTCTTTCGAACCAGATCAAATTTGAAGGTCGACCTGTCTTTGAGACCCTTGAAAAAGTCAGTATAAGCTACCTCATCCGGTAACCCTTGAATCTGTATTCTCATCAGGTTAAACCGCCTGATGTAGGATCGAAGCCCCTCCTTCTCACCCTGCTGAATTGTTCCCAAATCAAGGGTCGTCTTCTTCGCAGGAATGTTCATGGAAAAGTTGGAGGTGAACAAGTAAGCAAGCGTCCTGAAGTTGTTTACACAACCAGTCGGCAGGTTGCCGAACCATTGCTGTGCAATTCCTTTGAGAGTCGCTGGAAAACACTTGCACCAAGTGGGATCATCCAACCCTTGAAGGTACATTAGGTTGGAGAATGCCATCAGATGATCTTCTGGGTTAGTAGTGCCATCATAGGCGCCTACTAACACATTTTTCACTTTGACCGGCTGAGCGGCTTCAGTGATTTCCTTGGAGAAGGCCGACGGCTGTTCACCAAGTCTAAGCAACCGTAGCTGCCAGTCCAAAGGTTGGACATTTTTAGCTGCGTGTCCACCAAACGGAGGTGGCTGCATAAAATACTGTTGCTGTGGTACAAACGGTAAGTTTGGTACCGCCTGGTCGCTATGAAAGCCTGACTGACGGGAGGTGCCGCCTGACTGACTCTCATGATACGACTGGGTATGCCTCATCGAGGTATTTCGCAGACTTTCTTGAAAATTTGAAGTAGAGGCCGACTCTGACAGTCGGTCACTCTTCTTCTGTTCTAACAGCAAACGAGCGTCTGTGTATGTTTTCTTCGACCCGTCCGCCTGAATGTGACGAACAGGTTTCCTATTTCCTGGAGTAGGAAAACGGTATTTTGTGAGGTCAAGGGCAGGCGGCTCCCACTTCCTGGATTTAGGATGAGGAGTTCCCTCTCGCCCTTGAACCGGCTTCCTCTTGCCTGAGGTGGAAGGTTTCTTAGCCGACTGTTCCTTGGCCGGAACAGGCTTCTTATTAAGCAACTCTTGAATTTCTCCCTTGAAGTCCCTCATGAAGGTCATGAGTTCGTTCCTTGTGATGGGAGCAGACCCATCAGTCGCCTGCTGCCGAAAAGACGGTGCGCCTGTTGGCTCACTTATAGTTTGAAAATGTTCCCGTTCCCTCCTTTCGGTCTGACGGGTACGTCGGGCCCTTAGGGTCCCGTCTGGAGCTGTGTGAGCTTCAACTTCAAGTTCATTGTCAGTATCATGGTCCGACTGGACTTGAGGGTCGTCTAGGGGACGCCTCTCTTCAAAAGTCGGTACAAACGTGGATGTCATCTCAGAAGTACTCTCCCCACAGACGGCGCCAAAATGTTTCGGGGTTTTCTGGTGTCCTGCGGGAGAGTTACAACACCGAGACTGGAACCGGACGCCTGTACCTGCAAAACAACGAAGACTCCTTGTGGTAGGAGCTCCGCCTCCAACGGTCAAGTTAGTACCTGATTAAGGAGTAATAATTGCGGAAATTAAAGTGATTTAGTTTCTCTAGGTGTGAGTGTTTAATGTGTAATCCGTGTGTTGTTTTCGAGTCCTCTATCTCTTAATGAGGATTAAGAGGAGTATTTATAACCTCGGGAAGCGTGCCACTCTCTAGGTTTAGGGTAAACCTAGGGCTGACTGGGCCTCTAAACAGGATTGGGCCTTGTTGGCCGGTTTTCCCATTTGGCATGGGTGGACACGTGGCGTGTCTCAATTGGTCCGTAGAGGATGTATCTGTGATTGACACGTGGCAGGATCCTATTGGCCTACGTGAAGGACACGTGGCGGAACCTGGTTGGTCCACTTGTCAGACGGTGATTGGTGGATAAAAATCCCCTAATCAAGTGTGGTGGGGGTTTCGCGGGCTGGGGTGGGGGCTGGGGTGGGGGCTGGGCGATGGGATCTCGCACGCAGGTTGAGGGTTTGGGTTGGGTCGCCTAGTTGGGGTCAAAGCCTAGGTAGGGCTCCGCCGGCAGGATTGGGGTGAGTGTGGCTGGTTGGGGGTAGATGGAGCCTGGTGGGGTGGTGAAGTGGCGTTGTGGGGGGCCTGGGGGTGGTCCGACGGGTTAGTGTGGGTTTGGATTTTTTAATAATAATAAAAAAAAAATTTAAGTTAATTTTTTTTTTAAGTTAATTTTTTTTTTTTAAGTTAATTTTTTTTTTTTTTAAATTTTAGATTAATAATACTAATAATAATTGGGGCTTTGCCCCTCGTTTCCACCAAAAAAAAAAAAAAATAATAAAATAAATAAAATAATAATAATAATAATAACAACAACAATGTTGCTAGTAGCTACTAATAATAAAAACATTATTACGTACTTTGTAATTCTTTATTTAGATTTTTTATTATTTTTAATGTAGTAAGATTAATTAATTGTGTTAGTTACATTTTAATTAGAATTTAAAATTTTTAAAAATTATTTAACACATCTCACCAATAATGTTTTGACATGTGGCACATTAACCAGTTATTAACCCATATAGCCTTAATTACTTTCACTCTTATTGAATATTGATAATTTAAATAGATTATAAAAAGTTAATTGGAAAAAAGAAACGTATTAGATATCCCAATTTCATAAACAAAATTCCAATAAATACTTCATATTAAATTATTGAATTATGAAGAAAAAAAAAATTGAAAAAGTTAGTTACAAAACTTGTCAACAAAAAATTACAAACAATAATTTCTCGTACTAGACAATTAAAATGTCATTAATGCAAATTAAACATAAAAAAGAATTAAAAGTCCATCGCGTAGGGTTTTGAAAAACCGCTGCTAGGGTTGAGTGTGCTCCATTGTGATCTTCTGTCATGTAATTCTAATTGAATTATGTTCTCCTCTCGTTATAATAAATTAGTAGAATCATAGTTCTTGATCTTGTTGGGCGATGTCTGAAGAATTAATTAGAGATTGGGAAAACTTCAAACTTACGGATGAGGAAAACACCATTCTAGGCGCGACTTCGATCGAGGATACCATGGCAAAATCGACCTTGAAGTTAGAACTTTCCCTGGTGGGGAAGATGCTAACTATGAAACCATATAATATTGACGCAATGATGAAGAGGGTCTTGAAAGGCTTGTGGAGATTGTCTGATGATGTCGCTGTTCGTGTGATCGATTCGAACTTATTTGTCTTCCAGTTCTTTAACGAGGAAGATAAAATGAGGGTTCTTGATGGTAGACCATGGACCTTTGATAAACAAATTCTATTATTGAAGGCTATGGAAGGCGACGAACAACCGTCTGAGGTGGTTTTTGAAAATTGCCCATTTTGGGTAAGAGTTCTTGATGTCCAGTTTGGCCGTAGGAATGAAGCTTTTGCTCGTGAGGTAGGGGATGCAATGGGGGGTTTTTTGGAGTATGATGAGGAAGATCCCCTTGGATGGAATGAATTCATGAGGATTAAGGTGATGCTAGACATAACAAAACCTCTACGAAGAGGAATTAAAGTGGCTACCGGTCCCTCGATGTCGAAGTGGGTAAGTTTTAAGTACGAAAGGCTAGGGGATTTTCGTTACTTCTGTGGGAGGTTGGGGCATCTTGATAAGGACTGCCTCGAACAAGAGAAGGTGGACGAAGAACGCTCTCTTGTGTTTCAATATGGACCATTCATGGTAGCATCCCCACACCAAAGGCCTCGTGTTTCATTGATTTATAGAGAGAAGGAGAAGCGGTGGGTAGAAAATCTATCAAATGTGAGGCATGTGAGACGTATGTCGTATAATAACCCCAACGCCATCAAAGTTGGACCACCTAGTGCTGCTAGGAAGCTATCTTTTACTCCTACAAAGGCTGTGATGCCATTCGTACCAAAGGCGAGGGAAGCTACTCTTGTAGCTATGGCTAGAGATAGTGGTTGGAAGGTTGTTCTTCGACCTGTAGCTGCTGGGACTAATATGCAAATGCCGCCTCTAAGGGCATCGAGAATGGATGATGTAGAGACCAAGGAGGATGAGCATGGGGTGATGCGGGTGGCTGAAGATTCTCGTGACATAGCCGGTGGTGAGAAGGTGGGAACAGGGGAATGTCAAGGTGAAGAGGAGGTTAGGGTGGACAGGGAGAATGTGGAAAAGAAGGCTCTGCAGACTGATTTTGATGGTGTGGAGGAGATGGACACCTGTGAATATATCGGACTCGAGCAAAGGAGCGCTAAAAGGAAAGCATGTGACAGCGAGTTCGATGTTGATAATGCTGAGATGGCTCGTGAGAAAAGAGGTAGAGTTTCTCATCTAGATATATCATTCAATGACTCATTTCAAGTAGAGGGTCTTGGTAATTACCAAGCCCTCGAAAAGCCATGAAAATATTAAGTTGGAACTGCCACGGGCTTGGCAACCCGAGGCGAGTTCGTGCCCTCCAAGATAAATGTTGGAGGGAGAGGCCGAAATTGGTTTTTGTTATGGAGTCTATGATTGATAGTACTGTATTAAACAAAATAAAAAAATAGATGTGGTTTTTCTAATGGTTTGTGTATTAGTAGTGTCGGTAACTCGGGAGGGATGGGATTGTGGTGGAATGATATAAATACAAAAGTTGTATCCTTTTCCGATCACCATTTTGATGTGAATATTCTGGATGATAATAATACTCCTAAATGGAGAGCGATTGGTATTTATGGTTGGGCCGAACAATCTCAGAAACATAATACTTGGACATTGATGTCATCTTCAAAATCATGTAGCTCGATGCCATGTATTATGTTTGGTGAGTTTAATGAGATAACAAGCTTGACTGAAAAGGAGGGTGGGGTGCAAAGAAGTGAAAGGTCGATGGATGCATTTAGGGAAGCTATAGATCGGTGCCATCTTCGAGATTTGGGTTTCAAAGGGAATATCTTCACTTGGGAAAGGGGCAATTCCATGTCTACTTTTATTCGGGAACGACTTGATCGGTTTCTTGCAGGTGACGGGTGGATGTCTTTGTTTCCTGATTATGAGGTCCGAAATTTCCCAATCTATAGTTCGGACCATGCTCCTATTATGGTGTATTTGAAGAAGCAGGTTGCGTCAGATGGTGGTGGGAAGAGCTTTAAATTCGAACGGCTTTGGTTATCAAGGGAGGATTGTGTAACGGTTGTTGATAGAAGCTGGAAGGCAAGCTTAGAGCGAAGCATTGACCGTAAGATTGCTCGTTGCGGGGAGGACCTGAGCTCGTGGGCTAGGAAGGCTTTCGGGTCTGTTAAAAAGAAGATAAAAGACACTAAGAAAAGGCTCCGAGAATTGAAGGAAGGGTCTATGGATGGCGCAACTATTGATCTGTGTAGAAGCCTGGCCGAAAAGCTTGATTCCCTCTATATGCAAGAAGAATCGTTCTGGTTTGCTAGGGCCCGTGCCAATGAACTTAGGGATGGGGATAAAAACACAAAATATTTCCATCACAAGGCAAGTCAAAGGAGGGCAAACAACCGCATCAATGGGCTTTCCGATCAAAATGGAAATTGGTTGCAACAGAGGGTTGATCTTGAGCGGCTAATTGAAGCATATTTCAGGGACCTTTTTGAATCAAGCTCCCCTACTGGATTTCCGGAAGCTCTAGAAGGGATCGAGGAGGTTGTGTCGACAGATATGAATGAATCGCTGGATAGGGAACCTACAGGGGATGAAATCAAAGCTGCTCTCTTTCAGATGCACCCAAATAAAGCTCCCGGACCCGATGGTATGCATGCTCTTTTCTTTCAAAAATTCTGGCATATTATAGGGTCTGATATTATTTCTTTTGTGAAGAAGTGGTGGAGGGGGGAGGCGGGTTTTAAAAGAAATTAACAATACTTGTGTGGTGCTCATTCCTAAATGTAAAGAACCAAAGCTGATTTCAGAGTTCAGGCCTATTAGTTGCTGCAACGTAATATATAAAATTATTTCCAAAATGATGGCCAATAAATGGAAAGGGTTCTTAGGGGAGGTGGTTTCTCAAAATCAAAGTGCTTTTGTTCCGAAACGCCTTATTACTGATAATGCAATTGTCGCCTTTGAGATTTTTCATAACATGAAGAGGGGAGGTGGAGGAGGAGCGGGAAATATTTCCTTGAAGCTGGATATGAGTAAGGCATATGATCGGGTGGAGTGGAGTTTTCTAGGGATGGTGATGAAAAAAATGGGGTTTTCGGAAATGTGGATAAGTCGCATTATGGCGTGTTTGGAGAGTGTTAATTTTTCTTTTAAGATTAACGGGAAAATCTCAGGGTCGGTTTCTCCAACTAGAGGGTTGAGACAAGGTGATCCTATTTCTCCATATTTGTTTCTGCTTTGCGCTGATGCATTCTCAACATTATTGAATAAAGCTGCAACAAATAACCTTATTCATGGTGCCAGGATATGTAAAGGAGCCCCTAGAGTTTCTCATTTATTTTTTGCCGATGACAGTATTCTTTTTGCTAGAGCTAATGTGCAAGAATGCTCCGTTATAGCTGACATCATCAGCAAGTATGAGAGGGCATCAGGTTAGAAAGTAAATCTTAGCAAAACAAATGTAACCTTTAGTAAAAATGTTAATATTGTTCGGAGGGGAGAAATTATCGAGATTCTTGGTGTTCAGGAGGTTGAATAACATGAAAAAAAATCTGGGTCTCCCCACCATTATTGGCAGATCAAAGAAGGTGATGTTTGCAGGGCTTAAAGAGAGATCGTGGAAGAAGCTCCAAGGGTGGAAGGAGAAGCTGTTATCGAGGTCGGGAAAGGAAATTCTCATTAAAGCTGTGGCACAGGCTATCCCGACATATGATGAGTATATTTAAAATTCTTGATGTTTTGATCAATGAATTTCATACTCTTTTGGCTTGATTCTGGTGGGGCTCTACGGATGTGAGAAGAAAGTTACATTGGCAACGATGGGATCTCCTCTGTCCACCGAAGAGTAAGGGTGGTCTAGGGTTCCGGGACCTCCGTTATTTCAACCAAGCCCTCCTAGCAAAGCAGTTTTGGCGGCTTCACCACAACCCGGATACTCTTCTGCATAGAATCCTCAAAGCAAAATACTTTAAAAATTGTGATGTTTTGGAGTCTAGTGTGGGTTTTGATCCTAGTTACGCTTGGAGGAGCATATGGGGGGCAAGATCCTTACTGCTTGAAGGGCTGAAGTGGAGAGTGGGCAATGGTTGTGATATTAGTGTATGGAGGGACGCTTGGCTTCCTGGTAATACATCAGCATTGGTGCCCACACCCTCGGTGGATAGCGACCCAGACTTGAGAGTGGTTGATTTGATTGACCATGGTAGCAATACATGGGATGTTGAGATGGTGAATAATACTTTTGTTGTTGCTGAGAGGGCTATTGTTCTCTCCATTCCTCTCTCTAATAGATGCCCAAGGGATTCTATGTTCTGGTGGCCGAACAAAAACGGTGAGTACAGCGTACGCTCGGGCTATTGGCTGGGCAAATCGGGTAGTCTACTGGGACTGGACAGCGTATGGGATGATGTATGGAAGTTGATTTGGCACATGAGAGCTCCCCCAAAACTTTGTCACTTCATGTGGAGGGCGTGTAAGGGCTTCCTGGCTGTTCGAGAGAGGCTAGCATTTCGACATATTATAGAAGATAAAACATGTGTGATTTGCAGGAGAGAAGAGGAGTCCATAATTCATTCTTTGTTTGAATGCTCCGCTGCACGCGAAATCTGGGAATTGAGTCCTCTTAATGACATGGTTATGCAAGCCCCTAGGGAGAGCTTTACCACAAGAATTCTATGGCTGAAAACAAAGGTGACGAAGGAGGATCTAACTCACATTGCAATCTTATGCTGGGCCTCGTGGATGTGCAGAAACAAGATGATATTTGAGCACGAGACTATCAATCCTACAACCATTGCTACGGGCTTATCAAAAATGGTGAGTGAGTATAATGGATATGTAGCAAGAGTTCATCTTCCTGCTGTGAGGATGGCTCCTTCTGCTGATAATGGCTGAAAACCACCTCCCACGGGCATTGTTAAGCTCAATTGCGATGCATTTGTGGGAGTAAAAATTGAGCTTGGGGTAGTGGCCAGAGACAATTGTGGCAACGTTCTTGCTACTGGCGTGAGAAAAGGGGGTGAAGGTAAGCCTGTTGAGGTGGCTGAGGCTGCAGTGGTGTTTGGATTGAAGTTAGCTAGAAGATTGGGATATACAAGAATTCAAGTGGAAAGCGATGCTCAAAATGTGGTTAATATGATCAAGCAAAAATCTAATGGGTGTTCTCCTTTGTTCCTTATGATTGACGATATATTAGCCCTCTCTTTATTATTTGGTGTGTTCTCTATTTCTCATGTAAAAAGTTCGGGTAACACTATAGCCCATTGTGTGGCAAGGTGGGATACTAGAAACAGTGATGAGTATGTTTGTCTTAGTCCGTTCCCGCAAAGTCTATTGACTTTAGCGGAAATTGACCTATCTTAATAATAGCCTGACATCTTTTCTTCAAAAAAAATGCAAATTAAACATATGTCGTGACATAATATGAGTTTAATAATGTACAATGAAGCCAAAAGTTAAGGGTCAATAACTTGTGCCAAATAAAAAAAAATTATGATAAAGTAAGTACATGAGTATTATTGTCAAAAAAAAGGTACATGAGTATTAAGTTATAGCAAGTAATTTTGGATTTTAGTAGTAATGGGTTGTATTTAAATTGGGCCTTCCTTTCTGGATAAAAAAGGAGTTAGACCCCTACCCGTTAGAAAAACCGATTAAATTTATCTACTATAGTACCTATATGAGTTAAGCATATAATATTAGGGCTCTAAGTTTTCACACACTTTTCACCATTTTACTATGTTAATTTTACTGATAGTTTAGGTACATTTTTTCGTATTCTGGCTAACAAAAATTTAATGACAGATAGCAAAAGGATATATCCTTTGCAACAATTTGACAGACGCATGGAAAGAATTTCAGAGTGGTGGCGACGATGGGAACACCGCTTCCATTCACGGTGTGCGGCCATATATGGAGAATTCGGGAAAGCTGAAAAGCAAGTTGTCTCCGCGGATTTTTGAGTTGGAGTATGAGATTCATGAGCTCTGGTATAGCATCAATGCGGAGAAGTTCGATAGCGTGAAGTCCATTCAGTTAGTGTTGGAGCAATACGAAAAACATGGATGGAAGATTTCTCAGTTTCCATCCATGTTAGAGTACGCACAGTTTGCATTAGAGGCTTTTCGTAATCTGGATCTCAACCCCCTTCTCGCTCAAATTCGTGAGTTCGATAATTATTTTTATAAATCGGCACTACACCATTAATTAGGGTTTGACTTAAATTGTTTTTTAATAATAAAAAAAAAAGTATGCAATTTGTTTTTTTTTCTTCCAATTCTAGTTTAGAATTTTGACTTTAATTTCCTAATTTATTTACAGGTCAAAGTATCAACTCTAAAAGCCAATTTAGTGATGAGTACGGCCACACTTGGTTTACTATTTTGGGAGGTGAGTTGCTCAGCCGCTTGCAGGAGGCTTACCATTTCACTCCAACTCTGATTGTTTTCAAGAAGAAAAAGCGATCAGGTTTCTTTCTAAAAGAGATGAAGTTCTGTTTTGACTTGAGTGGAAGAGGCCCAATGGACTCTCATATCCTCTTTCCAGACTCGAGCAATATCATTTCAAGAGATTGACAAAAAGTTCTTAGTTCTGCACATATTCACATTTAGTGTAATTACTCTACAAGTGTCCTAGTGAAGTGTAATTACTTTTTTGGCAGTCTTTTTAGAGTTTACAGGTGATGGATATTTAGGAGCAGATGATTTCATAGCCCATGATTTACAATTGTGTGACTCATCTTGTGCTTTCTTTTGAATCCTTTTGATGAACAAACTATGCTAGACTTAGTATTTTCTTATGCCACGTTGCAGGGTTGGCTTTTGGGTGATAAAGGGGTCTTAATATGTAGTATTTGACAACTGAAGTCAAGCACATATGTAGTAGAGCTTTGACTATGAGGTTAGTATGTGGAATAATTGTCATGCTGGTAACTACCTTGCTGCTGCTATCTTAGCTGAGCTTAGGCTTAATACAACTTCTGCTTGTTTATGCAGTTACCCTTTTGAATATGGGCTGATTGGAAATTTTGATAGGGTTTTTTGGATTCCGAGAAAAAGGCATGATTTTTATGTTTTAAAAACTTATTTTCCAATAATTGAATGTTTTATACTTTTATGACATTTAAAATCCAAAAATTAAATAATCTGAATTGAGAAATTGTTGAATTTGATTGGTTACAGCCTTACAGGCATTCTTCAAAGACAAACAACTCTTGAAATTAGAAATATATTGATGGCTGGTTGATTATCAACCAACCATATTGACTTCGCAAAAGATCAACTATGCTCCTGAGGTTGACAAAGGTTGACAAAGGTTGCAAAGATCTTGATTTTTGAGGTTGGTTTATTTTTGTTCATGAAAATGAACTGTCTTCTTTTATGCCTTTCACACTACTACAAAAAACCTATAAGAAACCCCCTAAAACCTCCCTTTGAGACCACATGAGAGGGGGTCTTAAGGTCAGCGACCTCTTAGGTAAAGAAACCCCTTTTTAGAGGTGGTTTCTTAAAGACAATAAGAAACCCCTTTTCTTTCTTAGGTGGTTATTTATCCAACCCTTTAAATTATACATGAAAGCTGTATATGGAACCACATAAAAGCGAGAAGGGGTCTCTTATATCACATTTTAAAAAATCCCCCTAACTGGAAAAGGGGTCTCTTATCTAAGCTCAAAATTTTAAAATATAATAATAATAATAATAATAACAATAATATTATTATTATTATTATTATTATTATTATTATTACTATTATTATTATTATTATTATTATTATTGGACAACCGGTTCTTATTTAAGATTTGTTGGACAACCGGTTCTTATTTATTTATTCTTTTTTAATTTTTTTAAAGCAACATAATGTAACGAGTACCCAACAGGTGACAAACCTGTATATATATATATAATTATAAACAAAAATATGAAAATAAGCTACTATACAAGATAAAATATTGCATACTTTCATTGAAAATAAATATTTTACTACGAGTACAAATTTAGAGTGTTTATGTTGTACGTGGTACCAAAGGAAAATAGACAATATAAAATACTAAAATTGTAATGGTAGCGCGATGCATATAAATTTACTCATCATAATCCACACCATCGTCATATTCTTCACCGACTTGCTTATGCTCGTTCACATAATTAACCAATAAGTCTCTTAGCTCGTCAATCTTTGCTTGAGAATAAGAAGAAGATACTCCAGTAAAGTACTACATATAAAGCATTAACAACATGCGTTAATAACTACAGATACATTGAGTTAAAGTACACTATGGAGAACATGAAAAAGACAATGTGAACTAACTTTACATGCCTTATTTTTGTTTAAAATCAAGCATGCATTATTTCATCTGAATGGAAAAATTTCTATAGTGTAAAAAAGCATTGAAGCCCACCACAAAGAAAACACACCATAGTAACGCATTACTTGACCCTAGCTGATACATGATCGACAAATTGACCTTAACTGAACCAGTTAAGTTCATGTGACTAAAGTTGTAATGACTGAATTTTCAAAACCACAATATTTATGTGCCTGCATCTTTTACTTATTCATGCCGTCTTATGCCGGATACCCATTTTAGTACAATCAGAACATAGCCAACACAAACAAAGTTGAGCAATTAAAAGCTTCTGGGTTCTTAACTGCTATTATAGAATGTATGACCAGCTTCTTAATGAACAATCATAAAGGCCTTAAGATAACTGATGTTAGTTATGTGTACAACTTCCGGAAGTTAGTTTGACCAAAATTATTGATATGATCATTCTCACATCCATATAATGCAGTGGTTCAGACTCAATCAAACTTCCAGCCCTTTTCCAGGCAAATAAATAATGCACTTCTAACAGGCTGATAATCCTAAAGTAGCCTTCAAAGTTGGCTACAGAATCTGTAAACTTGCCCCAGAAACATGGAGTATGTTTCCCCCAGAAACATAATACAGAATACAAAAACAGAATAATATAGATAAAAACAAGTAATATAAATGAAAACAGAATAAAATGAAAACAGTTGAAAAACAGAATAAAAAAAATGAAAACAGAAGTTTTTTTTTTCTTTAGAATAAATATACATTATGCATGCATGAATAATACCTGATCAGGAATCACTTGTCGTCTTTTGTCTGTATCTCAAGCATGTAGCGGCACACATAGTATCCACTATCGCAGGAATAAACAATTAGTTATGTCACATGATAATTCTTTTTTATAATTATTAAGAAGCTTTGTATAAATTAACTAAAACTTACCTGTGGTTTCTTCCACCTAATTCCTGGATTCTTTTTTATCTTGATAATGTCTTTTCGATGTTTTTGGCTAAACTTTTTTATCCCACTAAAAAAATGTAATATAAAAAAATTAGATTAGTAATTATCGATATTGTAATATACGTCCTCATAAATTAAACAATCACAACACAAAGAAAGCAAACTGATTTTAAGCACATTATATGTAGATATAATGAATATGTGATGTACTACATACTCATTGATGGTCTTTTGAGCAAATTCACTAATTTCATTTTCTGCTCCATCTGGATCTAGCCAAAACACCACTGCATTCCAAGGACTAATGATCGCAACCATCCAATGCCGACTATATGTAACATTAGTAAGAGAAGTAACATTGACATTATTATCATTGAACATCCCAAAAAATAGTCTTATATATAATACACACTTACTTTTCTTTATACGGAGCAAAGAAAAGTTGATTAAGATTCTTCCCTTCATTTTGACCAAACACACTTGCTAAATAGTCTGACCGTCCTTCTTCAGTCATTGGTGTCAGCGGAGATAAATAACCAATATCGCAAAATCCATACATTCCAGCAACACTATCTTGTTTACACATTTCGCTCAAGTACCTTCCACATCAATTAACATATTATTACAAATAATATAAAACTGATAGTTAGAAAGCAATAGAAAAAAAAAAGGTAGTCATTAGGCATTTACTTCATAAAGATAGACAAATGTGAAGCTCCAATCTCTCTTTGAAAGCACCAGTAAAAAATGTATGCATAATCAATTTTAAGTTTCTGCTCATGTCCATACACACTTGTTGGGATTGTTATTGATATGCAATCATCATTTTCTTTCATTCTCCCAACTTCAATTTTGAATTTTCGCAACAAACTGGTAGTTAACTTAGCACAATCCTCATCTCTGATGACATACTTATGGGTAGTGGATGCTTGTGATGATGGTGTTTCTGGGGATGGAGTAGTCAGGGGTTAATCAAGTAGTTTTGCTGTTTGTTCATCATCCTTTAAAGTAAAAGCACAAATCAAAAAGAAAAATGATTAAACTAACATACAAACCCGAGACTTGAATAACCACTTTGGGACATAATTTTGTAATATTATAAGAATAAAATTTTACCTTCATCATTGGAAAAATCAAGTGACTTGGCCAGGGAGCAAAACTACCCTTAGCTTGAGACACGTACGTGAACTCTGAGGTTGGACATGGCATAAGAGCTGCTGGCATCACCACTTGATCAACCGAGACTCGTAGAAGACCAGTCACAATCTTAACATTATGAACAGTAATTACTTGTTTTGATTTTCTTTTTTCCACCTTTCCTTTGGCAACAATATGTAGCTCCTTCTCACTTTGAATTGCCAAAGAACAATCACTCCAACCCTTATCATGTACAATTTGAATTAATATACCATGAGAAATACTTATAATAAAGCTAAATGCGGTTGAGTATTAAATAATTGAAAAAGAATAATGTACCTCGGGAAGAGTATGTTCAATAACACTCACTGGATCATGCCTTGTCAGACCACTTCTAAATTGATTATGAGTAATTGGATCATCATCAATTAGCTCATGACTTATTTGAGGAGAAGAAGCACGATTTTGCTCTATTTGTTGATCACTTTGCATTAAGTGTTTCTCGGGCCAATGAACATGGTAAGGCAAAATCTCCTCCTGGTTAGGTTCCGAAGTACCATTTATTTCAAGGTCTACATTGTCTCTGCCAACATGTTTACTTAAATGAGCACCAAGGCCGTTAAAACCAACATTATTGACATCACATCCACCTACTTGGCCACTTGAGCCACTAAGTTGTCCATTAAGAGCACTAAATTGAGGACCACCAAACCCTTGAATAGGGAAACCAAATTGGGAAACATCCAACCCTTGGCCACCAAGTAGGGCAACATAACTCCCAAATGGAGTACTCACCGACCCTTGGCCACCTAAAGCACCACCACTTGTCATGAATTGTCTAAATTGATCTGGGTTGAAATTAGGGCTTGATATAATGTAAGACATCAACAAGTTTTGATCATTTCTCATAGTACACATCTTTTTCATCGGATAATTGACTTGTGCCTGCATACGATTTTGAGGTGTTGGTTGGTTGTACCCAAAATATGCCTTATTTGAAACGCCCGATCCAACAACCCTTACACGACCACCATGCTCAGGCTTATTTATTGCTTTGGCTAATACGTCATCCCGACCCTTGGCGGTTATTTCTCCTCTTTGAGCTTGGGCATCCAATGTACTCTGATAAAAAAAATTATTAAAGAAGTAAACAAATAATAATTAATAAAATTTGTTATGACCTGTATGCAGAACATGACCCATAATTTGAACTTAAAACAAGAAACTTGCAACTAACAATTTTAATGACTTGAAATTAGAGTTAATTCTTACAATTGCTTGCACGATTATATCATCAGCAGGATTCTCAAATACCATTTGGCCATCTTTTTCTTTAGAATGGGCTTTGAGCCAAACTGAATGTCGAGGAACTTGTGTGACATGAATCCCTTTGTTCTGAAGTTCTTTTACCTAATGTTTGGCAGCAACAAATCCAACATTCAGCTCAAAATTCAGATTTATACTTAATTAAACTGATTTTCCAACTACTTACAATCTCTTCTTCATAGTAAAGGTATCCTAGTCTACCTCCTCGGTAGCTTGTATTCTTTTTCAATGACCTTTCTCGATTCTTTTCGCTTAATTCCTTTGCATTAGATACCATACCTAGTTAGTATACAATATTATCAAATACAAACAATCTGCAAGACACCAGAACAGTAATACAGAAAAAAAGAAGAAGAAGGAAGCAGGAAAACGGAATTATAAGAGAGATATAAGAAGAATTAAAGCTGTAATCAGGGCTGTAATAATCTGGTTAGAGTAACCACTAATACAAGCTAGCTTTCATTCGAGAATGGACCAATATTAGCCAAATGTAGACCAATAAATGATCAGAGATCCTCTGTTATATCATCATTGTAATCCTTCAGACTCTATTCTGATGTTGAGATAGCAGTTTAGATATCCTCTGTAATACATCATTGTTACCTTCAAACTCTATTCTGATGTTCAGATATCTTGAATTTCTTAATGTAGCTTAGTTTTTTAAAGGCTATATTCTTTATATATACCGTTTATAATTATATACTTGGCCTTTGAGCTCTGTAAATCAATTACAGGTCTTCCTAGTTTATCCTTTATGGTGCTAGGATACTTATTGGAGAAACATGCTATACACAGGGATCTGAAATCATTTGATTTGACTCGTGTTGCTTAATATCTTACACCGCTGCTAATAATCAGCAAGTGTTATAAAGGGAAGATTGCATCAAGTCATTTTAGCTATTTCTTCTATCTGTTTCCTTCATTTTCTTCTCTAGGAGAGTGGTCCATTAAACTTACAATCAAATTATCACTTTTTTGGTGTTAACTAACGTCTAGGTTGCTGAAATAAGTCGAATATTAAGACCTGGGGGTGTATTTGTTGCAACAACTTTTTTCGTGAGGTAAATGACTTTATCTTTAGAGTGATAAATTCTAGAATTAATCCTACTCAACTACTAATATTCCACACTTTTTATAAATTTGGCTAATATTGGTTCATTCTCATACTTTCATACATTATGTGGTATTATTAGCATAACAAACTCTAGACACCTCAGCAAACCCCTTAACAGAATCATATTCTGTTACACAGTAAAGACTATTAAGCCCCCCAACAGACTCATTATTACAATTAACAAAATGCTAATAACAGAAAGCTTTTAACAAACTCAATAACCAACTCAAGCATCAAACAATTCCCTTCTTGCGTCTCACGTATATAACTATGATAGGATGCTTATTTCCATTCCTAGCACAATCTAATAAATACTTATATAGTATAAGAATACCTGAAATGCATCATCTTCGGTATAAGTCTTTATAAATTTGTTCCAATCAGTTTACTGTATCATTGGATATTTCCATGGTGATGTTTTCCTTACCACTTTCTTATTTCCATGTACCTTGTATAGCCAGTACTTTCTCAATCTTGTTTTGAAGGCCCTCCATCGAATAGAAGCCCTCCCTAAGATATATTTTTTGCGCTTCTCTGGTACATCAAATCCTTTCTAAAAAAAATGTTATTTTTATTAATACATATAATCTGTAAAAAGTAATAATACTAGTAATACATATAAACAACCTCATGCACGTTGAGTTATATTAAAGCATGATGAATTTGCAAAGGTAAATGCTTATTGCAATGATTTCATACACTTCATCCACTATTTCTTTTGGAACATCACCCTAATTTTTATAGTTAATGTTTACACGTTCACGAGCAACTACACCAATATAAGAAGAAAGGGTAGTGCGGTTTTTTTTATCACCACATGGAACTCCATATGTAGGATGCCATTCCACAAGGATTTTGGTACCGCTTTGAATTGCTTTCCCCACAATTGCAAGTACAGTGCGACCTCTCTCTTCCTCATGATTATTTTTTTCAGTATCAGATGCATCATTTTCTGGATCAGAGGTTGCATTGTTTGTAGATTGACTTGCATGCTTTTTCTTTTTTGCCATTAAGCTGCCAAATTTCATTTATTAGAAGCTATCATATCCAAATACAAAAATTGGGGGTATAAACTTAGAAATATATATATATATATATATATATGTGTGTATACATTTCCACAGTTCAACTATAATAAAAATAAAATAGAGAAAGAAAGGTTGTTCCATGAATGACATATGTGTATCAGTATCCTAAATATATATTTAGCACACACCTCAGTTTTGTCTAGAATTTGATTTACGACGACGTTTTCGGGACTTTCCCTTTTTAGAATCTGTTTCGTCCCACATACCTTCATCATGGTCTTGTCTTACATATATTGAAGAATCACCATTAATATCATCCCCGAGTGGCCCCTTCTTAAAGGTGGATCCTTCCTCCAGATTATCATTTTCATACTCATCCACTGCATATCGAGGCGAAGGTGAAATAACTATTGACTTTCTCTTATCAGCTGGATCAGTCACATAAAATACTTGTTTAGCTTGATTAGCCAATATGTAAGGATCTTCTTTATGCCCATGTTTGTCAAGATTTACCATGGTGAATCCTAATAAGTCGTCAATGGAAATGCCACTAGAGTTATCAAACCATTTGCATCCAAATAAAGGTATCGAGAAACCATTGTAATGCAACTCACAAATTTCTTCTATGACACCATAGTAACGCATTTTACAATAAACAGGTTTCTTATCTTTGACACTAGAAAAATGCATGGCTTCAGCTTCTAAAGTAACTCCACTATTTTGCATAGTACTAATTGCGTCTTGATCCTTGGTGTAAAATGTGCAACCATTAATCATATACCCAGAATAAAAAGAGGCACTGAAGCTAGGCCCATATGCTAAACACTTAAAACGATCAGAAATAGATTCTGGTGACGATTGAAGTTCTTTCATTACTTTTTCCTTGAACCAGGTAAAAAATGTCTGATTATGCTCATTTGCTATGAACTTCTCAGTTGCCTTCCGATTATACTTATTTTTCAAGAAAGTTTTGTGTTGCTCAACATAAGGTGCTACTTCATCCTCATTATGCAGAACATATGTATGGGCCTTAATCCACTGGACACTAGACAAGTCAGCTTGTTTATAACCAATGATACCCTTCCCATCTATCCTATCATCATGACGAGATATAGGCAGTCCAATCATTTTCACATCTCCTAAAAATTCACTACAAAGTGCAATAACAATTTCGTACTGAACTCGCTCAGCTATACAACCTTCAGGGTAATCAGCATTCATCACATAAC